TCCGTCCCGCATGTGAAATGGTCGATGAATGCTGACAGTGCGTCGTTTCAGCGGAGAGGAGAAGCCGACCTGCGCCAACTGTCAGCGACAAGGCGAAACCTGCGATTACAGTATTCGATTAAACTGGGATGGCCGGAACAAGAAGAAAGAGGAAGGAAATGCAAAGCCTGGTACGCAGATTCTGTCGTTCAATACTCCTCAGCCGCCCTCGAACGGATACACCAACGGCGGCCTCGACCAGAGTCCCAGCATCAACGACCAGATCCTAGCCCCTCCAGTCACCATCCAGGCTCCTGATTATTCAGTCGACCAAGCCACCGCAGAGTCCGGGTTGCCTTCGATCAATCGCTTCTCAAATAATCTCTCTGTCCCAGCGACGGGTGAATTCAACCCTGCCATCCTGCCACCTCCGCCGATGCTGAGAACTCCCCAGTGGGGGGACAGCGCCAATGTGAATGCCTCTTCTGTTCCCGACTCTGCTCTAATCCCGCCCTCAGTACGACATGTGATGTCTCTGCCACCGTATCCCTCACCTTCAGAATCTGGGTTTGGCAGCCCGAACCTCGGCAACGGCATGAACAACTTCAATGGTTATTCCATGCAAATGCCCCCGCCTATGCACACATCTAATCCTATGGCCTATCAAGAATCCATCAATTCGCCCTACAATCCCAACAAGAGGATGAAGTTGAGTCCGAGAACAGATAGTTTCGGGAGGAATGGCCCCAGCTATCAACGAGCGGGATCATATGGTCCGAATGACACAGAAGAGGTCGGTCCGCGTGTTCAATTCAACCCGCACACGCCCACTTTCTTTCCCTCATATATTAGCAATCCCTTGACACCAGCACCTTCGTCCACTTCTCAGACCCAGGACAACGAGGACAGACGAATCTCCGTGAGTTCGCTCCTCTCTGAAGATCCAGAGCCAGATGACCGCAGAGATTCCAGACAAGACGATCACAATGGGATTGCGGACGAACCGATTCCTCGACGGGGCTCTTTACACCAGCGGATGATATCATACTCGGAAACGGAGACCTATGGGCAAGACCGTGGTAACGTGGACCTCGACATTCCGCGGAACAACGATACAATGGCTATATCAGGCATGTCACCATCAGAACACAGCGACTTCGAATCTTGGTTGAATGACACAGATCTGGGTGTACCCGAGTTTGGGTTTGGGCTGGTCAGCCGAGAGACCGTGTTTGCAAGCGGGGGATATTATGCCTCGCCTGTGCCCATCAAGATCCCTCGAAAGCTGGAGCCATTACCACGCACTCTGTCAGAGAATCCGATGAACCTATTGTACTTCCATCACTTCCTCAATCACACAGCCAGGATTCTTGTTCCGCACGATTGTCCAGAGAACCCGTTCAAGACCATCCTGCCAAAGAGTATGTATCCGAGATTCCTCCTTAATCCGTTGTGATTCGAATCCATCCTCTGACTTAAGGTAGTGGCCGTTGATAACCCGAACCTGCTGAATCTGCTACTGGCGTACTCGGCGTGCCACCGGGCCAGGCTTTTGAATCATCCCGAGCCTGCGAACCGCATAGCGCACTGGGTCCGGGACGTCTTCCCTTCCCTACGGCAGACTTTAGACAATGTGTCAAATACCGAGGTATCGAACGCGAATTTGGCGACGGCCATCATGCTTGCCTCGTTGGAAATCATCTCTCCTTCCAGTTTTGGTGTTTCTATACCCTGGCAGAATCATCTCAGCATTGCTCGGAGTATTATTCGCGCTCGCACAGGACCACACTCCATTTCGCGCAAAGATCCTGTCATGTACTTTTTGACGAGGTGGCTAGCGTATCTCGACGTGATGGGTTCACTATCTGGGAGGCGTAACGAGGAGCCTCTTTTTGCAGGCAACTATTGGTCCAGTTCGCATGAGGACAGCACATCGGCCAAAGAGTTATCCTTGACTGATGACGACGGCGACGACGAAGACGACTATACGATAGACTGTCTTCTCGGATTCACCACGCGATGTGTGCAAATCTTGGCTCAGGTGGCTGTTTTAGCGAGAGAATGTGAAACAGCAGGCAGAATCGACCCCGATACAGGGCAAATCAACGAGGACTGGAAGCCTTCCATGGACATACTCAAGAGGGCGGAGAAACTGCGCCAGGATCTTGAAAAGGCTCGCAACCACGAACAAATCCAGTGCGCACATCACAGCCCTCAGATGACCAAAGCATCTCTCTGCGGAACGCACGGCACGCGTCGCAATTCAGCTTATGCCGAAATGTCGGAAAAGGATGTCGAAGAATCCCTGGCGACAAACTCGGCCTTTCACTGGGCTGGACTGGTCCACCTCTTGCGACGAATCCATAATCTGCCGCGTGACGACCAGGAGGTGCAGACGGCGGTCCATGAAATTGTCAAGATCCTGCAGCAGATCCGAGCTGGTGGAAGTGCTGAAGCATGTTTGCTCTTTCCCATATTCACTGCTGGGGTCGAAGCAGAAGATGCCTTGGATCGCGCAGAAGTGTTGAGTCGGATCAAAGGAGCCGAGGGACTTGGGATGTGTCAAGTCAGCCGGGCTCGGCGGATTATGGAAGAAGTTTGGAGAACTGGATACAGTTGGGAATGCTTGGTAACCGGAGAGTTCTTCGGCTGACCCCAATCCGACTCTGGATATGAATGATTAAAGAGGGTCGGGGAGATAGACCTTAGCGGAGAGGAGGACTGAGATGCCGACTCGCTTCATATTCACCACGTTACGTCCACGGAGCACATTTTCTCGAGCGTTGGAGTTGCGGGCGTCGTCTAAATACCCAGCCTGTCGTTACATTTCGTTGATTTCTGGTACATACCAATTTGGGATGGCAAGTCCGATGCCACACTTCAATTCTTCTACATGCTAGACTTTCGCACGGAGTTTTGAGTACAAGTGGAGGTGGCTTCAGCCTTGCCCACGTAAATACAAGTCCAGGTGTGACAAGGCTGCGGGGCTACAAGGCTACGAGGCTGCAGGCTGCAAGGCTGATTCAGCCCCCACGATATTTCGGAAGTCAGACACCCACCAATGCGAGAATGTAATTTACGTCAGCTTCCATCTCACTTCGTTGCTCTTCTACAAGATTCACTTTTACTGTTCTCTCTATCAATTTTTTTTCTTGGTTTATATCCCATCTCTGCCAGTCTTCTTGTGTTATAGATCGAGCGGACGCCTTTTACGCACAGGTCCAGGAAATAATATCGTCAGTGGGCCGTCGTTCTCTTTGATATCTGTCTGTCTGGTTGTCTGTCCTTGTCTGCTCGATTTTGATTTGGCGGCCCAAATCGTGTACGAATTGGTTACTCGTCCATTCCGTCTCCTGGGTACTCCGAGCTCGCTACCAAAAAAAAAAACCCTTTTCGAAATAAGGCATGGCCTCGGGGTCGCCATCTCAGACACCTGCAATGGAAAGCCTCATCCGGCGCCACCCTCTCCAAAAGCTCCAGTCGCCCTCGCGGGGGGCCTCGGCGTTGCTTCACTCGATCGGGCTGGCCAGTTTCGCCTACAGCTTCAACTGGCTGAGCACGCACCCCAACCACATCAACAGCGCGTACGGCTGGCACTTTCAATACCTAACCATCATCGGCCTGACGCTCGCCACGGGAACGTTCATTCTGGGCCTGCTGGCGGACCTGACCCTGTCCTCGAAATTGTTCGCCGCGAAGAACGTCTTGAGCATGTGTTCGGCCCCGATGGAGGTCCTGGTCAGCACCCTGTACTGGGGGTTGAGGGCGATTGACCCGACGCTGGTGGTGCCCAAGGAGCTGGAGCTGCCGCTCGCCCCGGACGTCGGCTTCCACCTCACGCCGTCGGCGCTGCTGCTCGTCGACCTCCTGCTCTTCAGCCCGCCCTGGACCATCACCGCCCTGCCCGCCATCCTCCTCAGTACCGTCATCGCCTTCTTGTACTGGTTCTGGATCGAGCTGTGCTACTCCTACAACGGCTTCTACCCTTACCCGCTATTCGGTCTGTTGGACCAGACCCAACGCGTCGGCCTCTTTGGCATGAGCGCCGTCGTCATGGCCGGCAACACGGTCGTCCTAAAGCGCGTTTATGGCTTTCTCAACGGGTCTCAGAAGGCGGGCGGCGAGATACCCGGCAGGGTGAAGATATAGAGGACCCCGGTGTTGTGAATGCTTGGAGCGAGATAGAGGGACAGGAAGGGGAGATAGAGGAAGAAAAGCGAGCTAGAAGATGGACAGTTGGAGGAGGGAAAAGACACGCGACATTTCTCTCCACTTCCTCCCTCCCTCTCTCTCTCTCCGGGGATCTGGCTCGATCCGCAATTTCATAGTGAGGCCGGCTTCGCTTCATCTAGTAAATTCATATTCAGGGAGAGCAAGGGAGGATACAACTGCTACCGCTACTCCGTTGATTACCGTGCGGTTGGGGCTGGGCCGGGGGGATCAAATCAGCGCGTTGGATCACAATCTACAATTTTTATTTACGTTCGTACATACCTGTCATCTAACCAGGGGCTTTGTACCTTGTGTGAGTTTTTATTCGTGTCTGGACCTTGCAAGATGTTGGTTTCCGTTCCAGCAGCAACCACTGACTTCTAGATTGGTGCTAGTAGTATTCTTGGTATTCCCGCTTGAACCGCACTCCGTCTCGCTCGATAGGCCTTTGAAGTACATGTACCTAAGAACAGCATCACAAGCTTTTGGATGATCCTTCCTTCGTATTGTAATTTCATCAATTTCGATGCTTATTGAGGCAGTCGCATCGATCAGATCTGCGATCGTGATAATGTGGCACAGTCCGACGAGCCATAGCAATGACGAGCCATGCACTATTCACTCAAGGGCAATCCCATTGGGCGTAATAGCATTCCTATACGTATGAATAGTATTAGCAATATTTGATCTAGCGACGGCTTCATCGCTACCTAGTGACTACATAAAGATTCGAGAGCACGTCTAATGGCTGTCAAACCATGCCACTTCCCACCCCCCCCTCTCTACTTTAGAGGCCCCCTACCACGAAACTAGCCATAATCAAGAATATATCCGCGATAAAAAAACACCTTTGTGATCGTTAGAGAGGAATAATGAAAAGACAAAGAGCACTTACCAGGATGAACACCTCAAGCAACCGCCTCTCATAACTTGTGTAGGTTACCTCAATGCGTCTAGGCAAAATGTCCACCTCCGTTCCGATGCGAGTTTGAATGACATCGGTGTCACATCGAAGATCTAGCAGATCTTTCGCTATCTTTGATCGCACGTCAACCATGTCTGTTTTGATGTTTGACTGAAGACCTATCAGGTCGACTTTCGTTTCGAGGCGCGCCATGTTCATATTGCGGCGAAGACTGGACATATCCTGGACAGATAGGCTGACGGGGGTAGAAGGGGTATCCGTTATATTAGGATAGAGCGAACTTATAGATATGTTAGTAGCCTCTCCAGTCATAGTAAAGTGATATACCTTACGCGTCATTATCTGGAACGTACGGGCTTGTGATGTATGGAATTGAGTGGCATTCTTTGTCGCAGTTATACCTCGTTGGAAAACGCTGGATGACAGCCGTGGCAAGGCCTGACGCTACATCTTGGATGATGAAGTTCGCCGAGGATTTGAGGACGTTGGGGGATAGAGTGTAAAGGTATGGGCGAAGGCGAAGTAAAGATGAAGTACAGGTGTAGGAGAATTCAAACATGACAGAATTAAAGTGTAACAGAAGGTAAATAAGGTGAGCGAGAATGAAACGTTAGGAGAGGACGAAAGGATGGCTAGAGAAGTGAAAGGTGGGAAACAACGTGTGTTGAGCACAAGGCTGGAGCTTTGGTTGGCTGTGTGGCACGGCAAGAAACCCTCGACGCCTTTGAGCAAAATATTCTGCAAGGCTGGCCCGTGGTTGACATCAAATAAGACTTTGATACCATTGTTCCTAGAAGACATCAGCAGAACCTTGACAGTTCCTTTATCCTGCATCCAATCAAACTCCAAGCCCTCCTACCACGTTCCTCTTGAGGAAATGGGGGCACACTTGAGGAACAACATCTCCAACCGTTCTTGAGCCTAGATCGTTCATGGCCTGACAAAAGTCGTCTCGATGTGTTGATCTTTCTTTGGACCACGAACTTCATGCAGGGTGGTCCAGGAGAAGAGAGAAAAGGGCGAATCAGCGTCAGGACGCTTGAGTGTGAATGAGTAAGAACTGTTGTAAAAGTCTTCCACGCAGAGGTGGCCTCCTGTACCGTCAAGGACCAGTCTCAGCTCTGACTGTGAAGCTTGATTTTCGTCCAACGGCAGGTCTATCTTGTGAAAGAGGTAGTCAATGGTCTCAGTCCCGGGCTTGGTAAACCATATGCTGATTGTGTAGACGTTTTCAGCTCTCGACAGACGCCAAATGTATTTCCTGGAGAAGGTGAAGGTGGGAACGCTGGCCAAGTGGTTGCCGACAGCCTTCATCATCTCAAAGTTACCCTGCTCATGATACAAGAGTTCTGCATCGGGGATGTTGAGTTTCCCGTCTGCATCGAGCACAGGTGAAGGAGAAGGCGTCTTTGTGAATGTTGCTGTGCCTGAGCAAGTCCCTGACGGTTCTGATGGGTCGGCGCTTTGTAACTTACGGTTGAGGAGCCAGGTGCCGGAGAGGTCCTGGAAGAGACGGGTAAGAAGGTTCGAGGCGGACGGGATGGAGTTGGACATGGTAGGTAGGCAACGGCGTGGACGGAACGCAGAAACGAAGTGTGAGAACTTGTGTAGCATCAGACGGAGTGCCTCGTCTGTACGAGGTAGGTAGGTAGGTACAGACGCTAATATCTCTGGTGGTAGTGAGTAGCCGAGGCGGCAACGCCCCTCCCACCCAAAGGAGCCAAGCCTACCTAGGTAGGTACGTAGGTACATATTTTGTAGTGCCTAGCTCTGCCCCCTAAGAGACCTAGATGGCCTATCTTGCGTGCCTCTACGGAACCCCGGTGACCCCTGTGCCTCCCCAAGCATTGATTTGACAGCGGTTAACTGCCGAGCTGAAAGCGAACCCCCTTTCCACCAACCATCTCTCCCGTGCACCTTTTTGCTCCGCGCGAACCTGTCACCCTGTGTTTATGCATATTTCCTCAAGCTTGTCCTTGCTTTCTACCGGCTCGCTCGCTCATTTGCCTTTCTGGAACCGGAAGTGCCAATTGAAAAATGCCTATCAAATCCCCGTCTACAATCCTAGCATGTCTTTTAGGTTTCTACTCCTCCTCCCTTTCCATTCGCCTTGTTTCTGCTCTATGCCGTTGCCCACCTCCGAGTTAGCAGCATCTTCACTCGTTTGAACTGGCTGGTAGATGCGGCGACTCACCATGTCCGCCGTTTACTCTCCCTAGCCTTGATCACGGTCCTCCATACTTTCAACAGTCCGACCCATGTTCGATCCCTTCGATTACAATCAAACCTCTCGCGCCTGAGCCTTTCTACCACGACCCTGTGAACTCGTCCGAAGCGTACGCAACACAGGTCAATTATGGCCAAAATGCGCTCCTCATCATCCTCATCCATAACCCTCCTGAAATCCCCCTCTGTCCTACTCGGCCTCCTGCGTCTTGTGTCGGCTCAGAGCATTGTTCCGACATCATCAACCTCCCAATTCCCTAGCTGCGCTGTCAATTGTGCAGTCCTACTCCAGGCGCAAACTGCTTGTGTGCCCCCTTCTGTCCCTGCCACAAACCAGATCACATACGAGAATTGCTTCTGTCAAAGCAGCTTCCTACAAGCGCTGTACAGCACCCCAGACTCCATCTGCACCGCCGAGTGCACGAGCGAGTCCGACAGGGCACTGCTGCAAACATGGTTCACAACCTTTTGTCAACAGGTTGGTAGCGGTATCGACCCGTTAGAGTCCACAACTTCCGCCCTCCAGCCGGGGTCTACAACTGTCGTGACCATTACGAGTTTTTCTACACCTCCTTCGACAGCTACAAACACAGGGACGGGAAGCGCATCTGCGTCTGCTCCTTCGCACCAGTCCTGGTAGGTCCATTCTTGGGGTTCAATCGTTGCGGTGTTGACAAAATTGCAGGATCGATGGTCATTGGCAGTGGATCCTGATGCTCGGAGTTCTCGTTGTGGGTTTCGCGCTTCTCACTTGGCTTGCGATTTGGTTCAGACGGCGACAACGTAGAAAGATTGAGGAACGGAGAGTGGCGGCTTCGGGATTTCCGCCAGTCGACGACCGCAAAGGAGGAGCTCGTGCGGCAACTCCAGATATTTGGGGTCCGCATCAGGTAGGTCTTAAGCGGTAAACATCTGATGGAGTGATGTCGCTGACCTGTTGGCGAAGCATATGCATTTCACAAACGGTTGGGAATACCATAATGATCCAGCCATCATGGGCGGCGCTTCTTCCAACAAGCGTGACCGAAGATCCAACAGAATCTCCTCTCAACAGAAGCACCGGGGGGCCCCTGAAATGACCGAAATGAGTGGCGGGAGACCACCCTCAACACGGCAGCACTCAGCATCCAAAGGCAAAGACAGGGTAACTGATGAAATCATACCAGTTGAACCCGAGTCAGGGAATGCGGATAGAAGCCGCAGCAGAAGCGCAAAGCGGAGGGATCCGGACAGTGATACGGAAAGACATCAACTCGACTCGGACCACCAAAGACGTCTTCGCGAGGTCAGGGGATCACGACGAAAGAAAGACAACCATACATAAGATTATGGTGAAATAGAATGTGCTGGTAACATTGACGAGGTATGAGGCGTACATTCCGTTATGTGATACATTCTGGCAGACGTATGTGCTGCAATGATGGCAACCTGATGCTCGAGCAGAGTATTGGAGGTCTGTCGATTTGAATATTGTAGTGATATGAATATGAACATTTGGGTATGGAGTGACGAATGATTTGTAGAATGAAGACTGTACTTCCTGCATATACCTTAAAAAGATGACAATTGGAAACTAATGGGGCACTTCTAGCGGCTGACGCCCCGGAAAAGGTCAGAAGGGCAATGACTTGCGAGTGTTTTCGAGTACGGGTCACCGAGTACAGGAATCCGTCCTCCGCATAGCTCCCAATCTGGTCGATACGAGCACCACCTCCACAAAAATACTCGACCCGGCTTAGTGCGGGCTCTGAACCCGCCAAATACTTTGCACTTGTAGATCCTGCAACCCATTTGCTTTGTCTGAATTCCTCTTGTCTGAATTTTGATTTTGATCTTGGAACTAGCACGGCTAGTAACGGGGCAATATGTGGTGTTGTTTCCTTTCCAGACTCGACTGCACCAAAACATCAATTTCCTGTTTGGCGCCGTTTGAACTCTACCCGGCCTTGGCCCAGAGCTTCTCTCGGCTTCAGCCTCAGTCCGCTCACTGATCAGACATCTCTGGCTCCGAAGGTTTGGTGCAGTGTCCTAGAAGTGGCAGGCGAGTGACTGCACTATACTTGTAAGCATCTTACTTGACTTGGTCTTCAAAAGTACCTCTGAAAGAAGAAGAAGTCCTGATCGGCGAGCGTTGCTGGGTTCGTGGTTGGCACTATAAAAAAGAGCACATCGCCACGACAACAGATGTCAATCACCGCCTGGGAATTCTGTTTCGAAGCCTGGGACACTGTCTTGGATCTCAATGTTTCTGCATATTCGAAATCTGCGTCGAATCAGGACCATTATACACCAATGGCTTGCTCTGTACGCGCAGCAACGCAGCGACTAGTGCTACAGAGCATTGTCTGAAAGAGACCGATGTGAGTGAAGGAAATGCAGTATTCGCGGCTAACACACGGTTGCTACCGAAGATCCCAGAGCACGTACCTTTACCATGAATGGACAGCTGTAACTTTCATTCGTATCACAGCACGTTTAGGACTGCCGATCTCAGCGACTGTTTACAACAAGAGTCCTCTGGTAAGTTACCCCCTCCGGCGTCCTCTCGCACGAAGAGGGCCATATATATATTTCTAGATGGGACTCCGGATCAGAGATTAGTGGTACGGGCACCTGATTCTCTCTTGCCTTGCAAAGTTCCATCTATACTGTTCTTGACAAAAAAAAATGGCGTTGGCTTTGGCGGTCCTACCCTTGCTTCTTCCCGCACTGGCGTTTGATATTGCAAGGCCGGATTGCACCACCAGTACCACGAGCTTGACTAGCCTGGATGGCGGCATCGGAGCAACTTCAAGCTCATTGACCACGACGATGACGACTTCAACAATCACTTCCATGAGCACGACCTTGACACCTACTTCCACGACCTCGTCTACCAGCACCACCAGTTCAGCCGCAGTATCGCCAACGAGCGACTGCATGGTCTCGGCAATATACCAATCCGGCGAGTACTGCGGCTGCTCTTACTTCATGGAGTGCGGGTTCCACCCGACCTACTCGGAGGGCACCATCTTGGTCGGCATCTATGGGCTGGACGGCGTCACCCAGAACCACGCCGAGTACTGCGCCGACCAGTGCGACGTCGACTACCTGTGCCTGAGCGTTCTCATCGACATCGAAGGGCAGAGATGCTATCTGTACAACGAGCTGCCCGAGGACGGAACTGCTGATGTCAACTATGATACGGTTCAGAGAGCGAACCTCGGGCCTGATTCCTGCGTCAATGACTCCATCGGCGTCTGTCTAGCCAACGAGCCCCTTGGCCGTGGTCGGAGACGATAGAGGGTTGTTCGGCTTAGTGACTGGAGGGGACGGGAAATGAGTTTCCGTTCTTTCTAGAGGGATGTGCTAAACGACTTGTTGGGGTTGGAGCCTTGGAGTGGAAATACCGTTATGGTCGGCCCGCGGTGTTTGGAGGACTCATGGCTGTGTTTTCTCATGTCGGCTCCTCTTCCCTCTCAGAGGGTCTAATGTGTAATTATACAAACAAGAGCTACATAATCCTCTTGTATCGAGTGTATCTTGAAGACGAATATCGCCCGCAACAAAAACTGATCCGCAGAAAAAATATGGATGAGAGGTGTGTCCAACAATGTCAAAGGCTACGGCAACTTCCAATTTCGATGCACTTCAGATAATAGCTGCAAACGATCGCCGTTAATGGAGCGGCATTTCGCGGTCGAGCCGAACCGGAGGATATCAGGCACAAGTGGCACTGCATGGGTTTGTCGGCTGACACAGGGTGGGGAGATTAGAGGTCGCAGCAAGGGTGAGCAGAGCGCTGCTGTGGACACAGCACAGGTAGCATTGTATTCGGATGATGATGGTGATGATGAGAGAAATATAATGCTTTGGAGTGAGAGACTCAGCACTTGAAATTGACTGCGTTTGTTAGTGTCTTGGCCTCCGCAGCTGCGCCCTGGTGCCTTTTCTTCACTCAACCTCATACTCCCTTTGCTACTCCTTGCTACCGTCTAATTCATCTCTCTCGCATTCGTCCACTCTTCGCTCAAAGGCGTGGGACATCTCGGCAGTGCGAGGCTTCAGGCAGTCTTCCACTTTGTGCCGGAGTTTCCGGAGGAGTCGCTGGTGTCTTATCATGCGATGGTTTGCCCTCTCTGGGATCAAGTTGCCCCTCCCACAATGCAACCTAGACGAAGCTCTAACCTGCCTGTCGGGGAATAGATCATCTCCTCACATTGCACAACCTTGTCGAGCTCCTGGTCAAACCAATCGGAAAACCTGAGTTGTCTGATATTGGTCGTTATACTTCGTCCAAGCTCCTTCGAGTTCCTGGCGAGCCTGTAAGCTCCTGCGCACTCCCGCAGAGCTATCTTTTTGTTACATGGGTGGACTTGACGTAACCTGTCGCCATCTGCAGCACGACATTGGTCATGCAAACCTCGACGAGCTCTTATTTGAGCCGCGTGGTCGGACGTTTGAATGCTCAAGCTCATCTCTTGAAAGCTTGTCTACTCTGATCAGTTCTTGTTTCTTCACCCGGAGTGTGTGGTTTCCTTTCACGATGAGGTCCCTCATAACTATCCTCGCGGCTTTATTAGCTACTATAGGCCTCGTTGCAGCACAAGTCGGCCCTCTCGACGAAGACGGAAGACCAACAACCTACACTGCATACACCTTCGACCAGCTTATTGACCATTTTCAAACCAGCCCTCGATATGCGCCAAACACAAATGCCACCTTCAAGCAGAGGTATTATTTTGACGACACTTACTACAAGCCAGGAGGTCCCGTATTTCTCTATATCAGCGGCGAAACAAGCGGACCATCGCGCTTTTCAAATCTTCAGACTGGGATCATCCAGATTCTGATGAATGCAACTGGCGGATTGGGTGTCATTCTTGAGAATAGATACTATGGCCAAAGCTATCCATTTCCGAATTCGACAACTGACAACCTGCGATTTCTCACCACTGAGCAGACTATTGCCGACAATGCTTACTTTGCTCAACATGCTACCTTTCCCAACGTTACGGGAGGTAACAATTTGACAGCCCCTGGCCACCCGTGGATCTTGTACGGGGGCAGTCTTGCCGGTGCTCAGACGGCTTTTTCACTGGTTCAGTACCAAGGATTGCTATGGGGTGGTATCGCTGCTTCGGGCGTCGTTCACGCCGTCCTTGGCTACCCCGAATGGTATAATCCGATCCAAGAGAACGGGCCCCCAGATTGTATCTCCCGAATCAACAACATCATTGACAAGATAGACTTCCTGATCGAGCAGAATAACACGGAGGCGATCCAGCAACTGAAGGACATCTTTGGACTCGGATCTTTGAGTGATCTCAGGGATTTCGCAATGACCGTAAGTAAGACCTTTCACATTGATCAGAATTTGCTGTCTGAACCGTCAGATTGCCTTTCCCCTGGGCGGGCCAATGAATTACCCCACCAACACCTGGCAAGAGCTCAACTGGTACCCGGCCTATGATAGTCCAGATTTCTTCCAGTTTTGCAACAACATCACCGACATGGATGCCCCAGCAAATATCGCCTCGGTTGATATGCAGTTGGCGAACTACACGAATGGCTCAGCCTGGACTGGTCTAGGGGCCTATGCGAATTATGTCAAAGAAGTAATTGTTTCGACCTGTGATAGCCCAGATCTGATTGATACGACGGAATGCTTCTCCACACAAAATGGTAAGTTCGCAGACCGAGGTCTTTGAAAATGTGTATTGACCACTCAAAGAAACATTCTACGCCGATCCCACCAATTCAGCTAGTCGATCCTACCTCTACAGCACGTGCATAGAACAAGGGGCATATCAACTTCCGCAGCCGCATGGAAAGCCCTCCCTTCTCTCTCGCGTTATTGGGCTCGACTACACCCAGCAATGGTGCACATGGGCTTTCCCGCCAGGCCCACTCTCGCCCCAAGCTGTGCCATCTCCGGACGGGCCAAACCTGACATGGTACAACAACTATGGCGACTTCAATATTTCAGCGCCGAGATTGGCACTGATTGATGGTGGAAGCGATGTGTGGCGGGATGTATGCTACCATGGCCGCAACGCCAGTATACGGTATGGGCCCAATCAGATGCTCATCACCGGAGGTGGCCACCACTGGGACAGCTCGGGAATATTGAATATCAGTGCAGAACCAGACTTCATTAAAGCTGCGCACGAGTGGGAGATACGTCAAGTCGTGGGATGGTTGGATGAATGGGATTTGACGCATGACAAAAAGGTTAGAAAGAGGGATGAGCTGTAAATAAATGACTGGCGAACACTGTCCAGCATCGCTGTCCCAATGAGAAGATCCCAGGTCCACAACTGTCCTAGCATGACCATGCGTAGCTATGTGTTCTGTTTCTACCAGCCCGTCGATTCGAATTGCCGTAACCAGGTTTGTGATGCCTAATACACGCGATAGGGCGTTGCTGCGCCTCGTTCACAACGACAAGTATGAGGCGTCTTGGCAGCTCTCTGTAACTCTTGTTCCCAGCATCCACCGTGTTTACATATATTCAACGCACTACCAACGGCTGTTTTTCCCACACGCCTCTTTTCACCATGGGCAGCTCCATACTTACAACAGACAGGTAGAGGATATCGCTGTGACCACGCACAACAAATGCTGTGCTGGCAAGTCCAGAGCTTTGTGGCGGTGCAACGTTTTCATCACGAACCATGTCCCTCCCACGACCACATTGTTCTTTCACCATCCCCAGCATCCACGACGATGTAGAGCTTGACTGTCGGATTTACTATCCTCGACGAACAGAGAGGAGTGCGCGAGTTTTCGGACGGGGTTTCGCAATTCTCGCACACCCCTACGCACCACTGGGGGGATGCTACGATGATCCTGTCGTGGCGCTTGCTGGCGGCGTCCTGCTCCAGAGCGGTTATTTCTTGACCACGTTCAATTTCAGGTACGAGGGCGACCAGAGCTACAATTTTGCCCCCCGACCCCCACACTGACTGTGACTCGAGAGGTGCTGCTGGCTCGGCAGGAAGAACCTCCTGGACGGGCAAGCCAGAGCTGAGCGACTACGTCTCGGTTTATGGGTTAGTGCTGTGCTACATCGACGCCATCTTCCGTCGACCGCCCGTGGAGGATGCCGCTCGAGCGGGGAAACCAGTATTAGTCCTCGGAGGGTATTCGTACGGAGCAATGATCGCGTCTCATCTGCCCGAGGTGGACGTTGTGAGCGACCTGTTTCGCTCGCCGGCGCCAGACTCGGCCGAGAGCGAGATCAGCCGTCGAGCTGTAGACCTGTCGCAGGACGCACAGGCTTATCTAGACATGCATTCCGGGTCGGCGACGCTGACGATACCGCGGGTCCGCGGTGGAGCAGGGGAGCCGGCAACGAAGACAAGTCCCGGTGTGGTGATGATGATGGGAGGCTACGAGTCAGACACTGCCGGCCGACGAGTCAGTCGGGAAAACTCTAGGAGAAGCGTCGACGGGGAGAGAATCAGACAGAGTGTGGACCGGATTCGTCGCAAGATGATCAGCCCGCACCAGCCCAGCAGCCCGGCGCCGTCGGCAACAAAAGCTCCAGTAGTCGAATCCGTCACAATTCTGCCAGAGGTGGCGTATGTCCTCATATCCCCGATATTGTCGACGGCTGCAGGGTTCACGACGATGTTTTCAAAGCTCAGATTTACTCGGAAGGCCCGCGAGATCACTCACTCCCCGACACCAGAGTTCTACGAGCTTACGCTGCATCCGTGTTGTTGCTGTTACGGCACACGGGACAGGTTCACGTCTGCGGCTAAGTTGCAGCGGTGGACACAGGATCTACAATCGCAGCCTGGTTCTCGAGTTGTCACCGTCAGCGCAGACACAGGCCACTTCTGGCATGAAGCAGAGGGGGTTGTCCGGCTTCGACACGGTCTCGCCGAGTTCCTGGACTCCTTGGGACAGAGTGCACCTCCAGACCGAACTGGAGCAAGGGATGCCGTTGTGAAGCATCTAGAAACTCCAGAAGAGACAACCAGCCACCTTGCAGCAGGATGAAGAGAGCAACATGAATGCAGACGGAATGTGCTCCCGAAACGCCCAGTGGGACGTCTAAGAGGCATTCGAGAGAAGTCCCGAGTCTCCAATAAGGAATGACCTATTTCAGGCCTTGGATGCTGGGAACTTCTTTATCTGATTGGCAAAGGGCAGACGGCAACAATTGGCGAGACGCATGTGCAATTCGAGTGTCGTACGATTTCGAGAGGTTGCTTAGGAGCACATGCTCGTGTCCACCTTTTGCTTAGGGTGGATGTGCGGGTCGGTTGAAGCCGATCGTGCAGCAGAAACCAGCCTCATGCCGTGCATTGAACGGGCACAAGGGATGAAGGGTACCACACCGCTGGTTGGGCATGGACGCTTGACAGAAAGGGAGGTGGTGGCGGTGAAGGCTAGAATCCATGACCGAGATCAAGGGTTGAGATGAGCAAGGGGGAGGCATGCACTGCATGTCAGGTTGCCAGCGCAGGGACTGCTGTGCTTGTCAGGAACCCGAAGCATCAAAGACAAAATCCGGGAATTTGCATGTGAAGGAGATCGTGCGCGGTGCCTTGCAACTGGGTCAATGCGGCCTTGAGGGCCCAGTTGTGGTTGTGCTTCTTATTCGACGAGACTGACACGACTTGACAAGGGGGATACATCACGCGCTCAATTGTGAAAAAAGAAAACAGGACACCCTCATTCATGAGTCCATGACAGGAATGCCAATCATCTGGTGAGACCGTGGGGCGTCCGCAGCTGAAGGATGAGAGCGTGACCTGTCTTCTCCAGGTTGTTGGACCTTTCCCCGGAAATTTGGAGGAAATGATGATGAGTGCGGGAGACGTTGACAGAGGAATGGTTAATTGACTGTGTAATAATCGCTCGGTAGGTGGCAATAATATCTCTTCCAGCTCTTCCTGGCTGCGCAGTGCGCACGAGGTTCCTGGATACGAAACATCTGCGGGTTTCCCAAGGTTTCCATTCCCATCGACTGTTGATTGCGCTTTGTCGATGTCATAGTTCGCCCCACCATCATCACCAGCCACCATCTACTCTTGTCCGTGAACCCGTGGATAACTCAATCAGCACGATGTACGAGGTACCGAGAAGTACCTGACGGATCTTATTGATGCCACGAATCCGTTCTTTGTTTTTCTGCACCATCATGTCATTCGCTTTCTCCCAACTTTTTTGTGGGTGTCTGGCTTCCTTGCAATCACTCGGCTACCGACATTTCGGTCTTCTGCCGGCCTGAGTTGCGATTCGAGTCGTATCATCTGCCACCGTCTGGCATACCTTGGTTGGTTTGGTGATCTCTTACTCTTTCACGCTCTCCGCAGTATATCTTGTTTTGGAGATCTTCAACGGGACCAGGTCACACGCTTCAACTTCAGCCGCCCCCCCATATGGAAGTGGCCAACACCATACTTGATGACACAGTCCTTACTCTGATTCAACACCAGGACCGACCATTCCGCCTTCCTGTCATCACCATCGTTTGCTGTTAACCACTCACCTAGACTGCAGATTGTATTTCTATTGCCTCCCTCACACCACCATCCTAGATTACGCCTCTTGAAGGTCAAATGGCCACGACCTCACCATCGACATGGCCATCCTCTTATCCGTCGTCCCAGTGCATACTCCGCTGTTCTGGTCATGTGTCGGCTTGTACGCCGACGCGGTCAAGCTGCTCTCCCCGAGCAAGAGACTGCAGAAACTGGCCGAAGAGATAGCCAGATACAGCAGGAGACCCCCGGAGACACACGAGCAAGCTTTGCTCAGACGTATGCACGATGCGGAGACTTTAGCCGAGTACGAGAACTGCACTATTGACTTGGATAACCTACAAGGGCACGAGGCATGGAAGAAAGAGAAGGAGTCCATTGAGCCTGGGTACAATCCCGACGTGATCGAGAGCCAAGTCATCCGATTGAAGAACGCCGTGGTAGACCAGGACCTGAATGCCATGCAACATCTCCTCAGAACAGGGCTCAGTCGTGATTTGGGTGGCATGAATATGTCGCGACTTTATAAACACTCATGGTTCGGCACCAAGTTCCTGATAGACGACTACATCAACACCGTTTTAGAGGCCATCGAGACCTTTACGGAAACCAGCATTCACAGCGATATCCCTACAGCAGAAATCCGGCACCACCAGCAATCATTAGAAGACGCATTGAAGTTCTTTGGGCGTTCAGCACTGACCCTGTCGGGCGGAGCACTTCTGGGCATGAAGCATATCGGCGTTGTCAAGACACTCTGGGAGGCAGAGTTGTTACCGGAGATCATTTCAGGAGCCTCAGCAGGAAGCATCGTGGCCGGCATCGTAGGCAGCAGCAACGATGAGCGCATGGCGGAAGTTCTTGACCATTTCCCGTTTTCAGACCTGGCTGTATTTGACCCTCCAGGCACTGGGAGGGTGGGGTGGCTCGCGCAAAGGATTCGTACTTTTCTGCGAACCGGCGCTTTCTTTGAAATGGACAACCTGAAGCGGGTCATGAAGTCGTGGCTGGGCGACATCACCTTTCGAGAAGCACGCTACAAGACTGGCCGGATCCTCAACATCTGCGTATCCAGTGCAGGGAACGCCGAGCCACGACTATTGAACTTCGTGACTGCCCCTGACGTGTTCATCTGGTCTGCCGTTTGCGCATCTTGTGCTGTCCCTAATGTTTTCCCACGTGCCAATATCTATGAGAAAGACCCCATCACCAAGGAAGAAAAGCTGTGGATGCAAAATGCTCAGCAGACGTTTGTGGATGGGTCCCTGGACCACGATATTCCCATGAGGAAGTTATCGGAAATGTTCAACGTCAATTTCTTCATTGTCTCACAAGTCAATCCGCATGTCAGGATTTTTCTGGATCAAGAGGAGGTGTTTCGCGGCAAACAACCCGCAGCACCCATGCCTGTTCGGAGTCCCCTTCAAGCAGCCAAGGAGCTGTTCAAGGAGGAAATCATACATCGCGCACAACAACTCTCAGACCTCGGTTTTCCTCAGGGATTGTACAGATGGGCTTCTCTTTTCAATCAACAATATACTGGCGACATTAACGTCTTGCCAGAGATCAAACCAAGCGAGTACCTTAGTATGATGATGAACCCTACGCCGGAGTTCATGGTGGAAGCGACGGTTGCAGGGGAACGAGCGACGTGGCCGCGCATGTGCCGCATCAAGAACTGTGTCGCTATCGAGCTGGCTCTGATCCAGGCCATTCACACTCTGCGGGACAGAGTTAATTTTGGACCTGAGGCTAGAGCGGCTCGCGAGCACAAACGATCCAGCAGCAAAGGCCGACCAGGTCGTGGTCGCTCAGCTCGCCCCTCGTTCCTGAGGAGGCGCAGTCTGAGTATCGAGTCCCCAATGACGAGCGACAACGCATTGACACTACCGCCGCCGTTGAAAGTCCGCCGTAACGTGAGCCTGGGGAACATCTCAGTAAGACCGACCTTCTCCATTACGACGCCACGAACAACGCCGTACCTATCACCGCAGGTCGGCGTCGATCAAGATCTTTTGGGGGAAGGGTTGATCATGACTCGCACGTACTCCAACACACTTGACGGCTCTGGTACAGATGGTCATATTGTGGAAATGTCAAACATTAGCAGGCGAAGAGGGCCCCTGTAGAACAGACGTTGCACATGAGCATGGCGTCAATCAGCGATGCATTAGGTCGTCTCGATACCCCTTTTTTGTTTGTACTGCGCGAGACCTGTAGCATTAGACAGAGAAAGCATAGCAAAGGAAATTCAACGAGTGAAACCCTAGATCTGAAGGCTGAATTAGAGGTGTGTAACAATTGTGCAGTAGGCATTGATGGGTGGTGGACATTGCTGGGAGTGTGCGGAGGTTTCTACCAGGGAAAGGCTCTTAGGAGTTGTTGGAAGGGTGGAAGGTGGCATTGGCATGCGGCCAGTCGCGCGCCGCAGTCGAGAGAAATCCTGACCTCCCTCTTCCATACCCGCTGGCACTGCACACATCCTGCGCCAGCGACAAACGACGAGTCCACCCATGGACAAGTGATTAATTGATGGCCAAATCCACGCGCTGTTACACAGCTTTACGCCAGAAGCAATATTGGGGGCAGTCATGGACCTGAAGTCGATGCTAAACGACTCCTCGACACAGCGACACCAACACCACCATCAACCTCAACCGCACCCTCCGCCGCGACTTCACACCCAACAATCGTCTTATGAACACAGCCCCTCGTACGAGTCTCATCCTCCCCTCGAGCGCCCTCAATTGCCCTCGTCGTCCTCGTCGTATCAGCAACCGCCGCCGCCACTCCCGTCAAATGAATACCGCACCTCTGCAAACGGCTCCTATTTTGCTGTGCACTCACCACAACAACAAAATTCGGCCTCCGCGTCAGGCTCGACGCCCGGCGCAACCGGGCAATCCTTCTATGCGCAGAGTCCAGGACCGCATGGACAGATACACACTCCGCGTGAAGGGATTCCACCTTCGCATCCGTATCAGTCTCCCTTTGTTCCTTCACCATCTCCGTCTGCGCCTTACCCACCAACTCCAGGATCCGCCCACCACTACCAGAGCGCAACGCCTTCCTCTGCCACCACATATCATCATTCGAGCGCACATCCTTCCCTGAGTGCCCAGTCTCCTACGCCTAGAGAAGACTACATTTCCGCGAACGGCCTTGCACATGCCCAGCAGAGGCACGTTTCACCTCAGGCTCAGTTTCACCCACCTCCAGTAACTCCCCTCGGTCCGCCCGTTGCCTATCCTCGACCATCACCTCATCCTCATCGCCCGACGTCCCATGGCCACGAAAGCGTGAGAAGATCATCTGTTGGCTCCGTTGGTTCAGTGCAGAGCAGGGAATATAATCAGCCGCCCTACCCGCAAGCGGAACATTCCAGGAGCGCCAGTGGGAGCGTACAAAGGACTTATTCTGGGGACTTGCGTGAACGCGAACGGAGCATCGAGAGCGTCAGCCCCAAGACGATTCCCAAGCCTCCTCCAAGTCGGCAGCAGAGTGTTGGGC